GTCTGATTCGAGTCCAATTTGAGTCTCTCATTTGAGTTGCGTTCGAATCTGATTTCCTCGTTTGAGTATTTTTTGAGTAGGCTGCTGGGTGTTTGTATATTTTGTAGTTTCATCTTGGACCCTTGCTTTCTGGGCCTGTGAAATCACAAAACTAAGCTTCGAAAATTCCCGTCTCGTTGTGTGTCAAAAGCTCGTCTAGCTCAGCCGAACTTCGAGTCATGCCTTCTGAGGCCGCAAACCTCTTGCTTTCCAAAAGCATCTCTGCTGCACCCAGGAGCATCAAGGCCTGCGACCGTGTTGCCGGCCCTGTCCGTTTGGCCGGCTCCACTTCGTCACCAGCTCGCCCGCCGAACACTCCCCAGTCGCCTCGCCCCGGCGCTCGTTCCGTGCAGCCATCTCGGGCAAAGCTTCTCGGCAAAGCTTTTCGGCCTCCCGAAACCCGAACTCGGGGTGACCAGGCCACGGGAGGGATGAAGGAAGTGGAGGGTTCCACGGCCCGGAACGCAGTGCACGAAAACAACGGATCCCCGAGTTCTCCAAAGAATCAAGGGTTGTTGTTGGATGAAGGCCTAATCGAGCACGCCTCATAGGTGCAGAGGATGAGTGGAAACACAAGTTACCCGGTTACCCGATCCGAACTCCGGTTCTACCAGGACTTCTCAGACGGCATCAGGCGAAATCCTAGAAAAAGATCATCCGGTCTGAACCTCGAGCTTGTAGTATATTGGGTGCTTGAGGCATTCCCGGGAAGCCCGAGTTCCTATCCAACAACGACCCTCACAGTGTTTCGTCCTGGTCATCATCAACATCACTCTGTAGAGACCGTTGAGACAAAGACCCCACCAAGTAAATGAACCAAGTACTTTCAACATCTCTTGAACGTTCTATACAATCTATATTTATAACGCCCACTAGAAAGCCCTGTAGCTCCACCGTCGGGTCGCTCGCAAGCAGTTAGACTTCTGCCAAAGTCATCCCTCCCATCCACCCATCGCTCAATGCGTCAGATCTGGGCCTCTAAAAGGATGACTTTTCGCTCGGAGCTCTCCTCCACTTGGGCAGCGACCGGGGCAGAAAGACCGGGGCAGAAAGACTGGGGCTGATGTTGGACCGATGTAGTGAAAGAACTCACAGATGGTTAGGTTCGATGGTGCCAGGGCACCCCGTTCGATGTCTTAGACAGCTGGGGGGAGTTCATATCAACCACCAGACTTGGGGGCCAAATTCCGCAAGGCGCCAAGGCACGACATATGAGATATGAGAAGTGTTCCGAAATGTTTTTTTTACACCCGCTGCATCACCACCAATCACGGATGAACAGTGAGTCTGCACTTAAAACCACCAAACTCATGTGCTTAAGGATAAAACATGATAAAACCCACTGCTCCCCAAACCTTACGACCACCAAATATGTAATATAGAGATCCCTAGCCAGCGCGGATGCAACATGTGTGTTGTGACCACCCAACCTTAAAACCACTGTTGCCGGCATTGGAGGCTACCAGGACCCCAGTCGCACGATGCCGTGCTCCACGCCGTGCTCCACCGGAAGCACCGGAAGGCCGCTGTTGGTGGCACCTCCGACCGAGCCCCGGCACCTTGTAGCACGCGCTGTGGGCGCGACTCTGCTCGCAGAGCGCCAGGCTGCGAAGCCTGAGAACTCGGTGCAGCGACGCGGGAACTCGCGCGGAGGGCTTGTTACAAGTAGCATCGTGTTACTAGATGTTACTAGTAGTATATAATGCCAGCTACTAGGAGCTACTCCTTGCTACTCGTAGCGATGCCCATTCTTACTAGTAGCGTCCTTTTGTCTCTTATGATGAGCAGAAACGTAGCTGATGTATGGCAAGAGATGCTGCTTGTCTGGACGAAGAAACGTTTTGCGAAGAGAAGCTGAAGTGGCCAATTTGGATTATATAGAGTTCCATTATGCCAACGATCATCTTCCACGAATGCTGAAGTATGTTGTAAGTATTAAATGATGATGATGATGATCATCATCATCATCATGAATGAATGAAGCGAGTCTGCAACTAAACGCCACGAGTCCAAGTTCAAGGGTCGATTGTCTACACTGTCTACACTCTACACCACCCTCCAAGCAGAAGACAAACCCAAAGACAAACCGGGTGCCTCACCACTGTCCAAGAAAGGACCTGCTGCCGCACTGAGAATTACTTTTCACTGAGCCCGAAACAGAAGTTTCGTCCAAATCGTGCCAGCTTCTTGCGGCAAGTAGGAATGAGTTTGGGCGAAATTGTTGTGTATAATACTTATGCTGTATACGTGGCAAAAGGGATTTGCAGGTCCACCCTCATTAAACAAACCTTACTCATCCACCCGCCGCAGCAAGCGAGCTTCAAAACCTCCCAGCTGCTCGCTGGGCTCCCGTGCGCATCCGCGATCACCTGCAACGATGGCCATATTATGCGGGCTTTGATTAATCCAGAGTCCACATGACCCTTCCTTTCTAACATGGTGACTCTGATAGCCACTCATCTGCCCGCTCCGTGCGCTGCCCCCGCTATGCCCCCCTGACCTGGGGCTGCTCCGCTTCCCGAGCACGCTGAAGGACCTCCTGCGCAATCTGGCGCGCCTGGCGGAAGTCCAACCGGTGGACCGAGGGAAGATCACGGGACGTGGGGAACTCTCAAAATGTCCAGGTTTTGACCTAAAGCCCTATGAAACAAACCCGAAAAGGCAAGGGTGGCCCGGGTGGCCCATGGGTGCGCAGGGGGCTGCGCAGGCCCTATTCTATCGGATGGAAACGCTCAACTGTCCATTTTGGCCTTGCTGGTCTCTATGTGTTGGCCGGTAGTTTGCTACTCAGGCGCAGATCTATATCATCTAAGCTTTGGCTCCAAGGGTTGAAACTGTGGACGGGACCTGGAGGATGACAACTTTGACTAGTTTAAGCTGCTTCTCGAGGACTTCGAAGCAGGTCCAGTCTGATCCCGCCCAGTCTCCCGTCGTGTTCTCCGCTCCACCGGTCGCGTGACGAACACCTCTTGATGATCGCCCCGCAGGAGCCAGGCATCCTTTGCCTGGGTGAGATGCTCACGGTGGAAGGGACGCTGTGAGAACGGTGGAAGGGACAGCGCAGGCAAAACCACATGTTTTGGGGATAGAGATCAAATCTCTCTCACATCCATGTGGGAATACTGATCTACACTAGGTCTCACTAGGTTTGTGGGAATACTGAATGTACAAAAACACACATGTTCATGTTCGTTGAATTCTCCTACCTTTTGGCGTTTTGTGATACCTGATATGTCTGCTTTACCATGCCCACGTGCCACAGTCCAAAAGCTGCTTGGCAGGCCAACTCTGAGTTTTGGGCATGTTCTCTTAACACTGATCACACAAGAGTTTCAGAAAATACAGTGAAAATATAGCCCGCATTGTTGTTGTTGTTGTTGTTGGCTATTTCAACATAAAGGTTTCCACGTCGAAGATCCAAGCAGTCCATCTCGTCCTCACCCCCCACGTCGTTGGATCTGCACCAAGCGCCCGAGCCGCCGCAAGCCGCCTTAGCTCCTCGCCCATTGGCCTAGGGAGGCCCGGGACCTCGCGTGCCAGCGTGTGCCAGCGCGAGGAGCGCGTGGAGCGTGTGGGCGACGCGGCGCCCAAACGGGTCCCGTTGGCTCGGAGCCAACGAGTTCGTGTTTTTGGTGTCAGTCAGATGTGTGTGGGATGTGAATGACGAAGTTTCTTCAAGGTAACTTCCTTGGCTGCGCATGGAGTTGCCTATTTGTGTTATACCTCGCTCATCGGACGGTCAAGGCGCGTCGATGGCATGAGGGACTCTCTGGATATATTATATATATATATGTATATGTATGTGTGTGTGTGTGTTCTCAATGATATATGTCACGTGGCTGGGATCTTCGTCTTCCAAGGGGCGATCAGGTGAACGGGTTTTCTGTTTCTGTCTGTTTTATGCCTCTGCTTCGGTACTTCCTCTCCGGGTGGATCTGTCATCCAGCAACCGAGTCAAATCCCTTTGATTCTGTTCATCCGAGGCAACCTGTTTCGAGATTTTATAGTACATTGATTTTAATGTTAATCAGTAATAATATCTTTCTATGATTCATTCATGCCATCAGCATCCAGCAATTTATTAAAGGTGATTAAAGCAATGATCATCCTTCCGGCCACTAGGTGGGGCATATCGGTCTAAACTGGCTCCTTGAGAGACAAGCTTCGAGATAGTGGATGGAACAGCAGGAGTGGACCACTCAGTGGACCCTACATGACCCTCGCTCCTTGCTGAGTGTACTCAGTGTACTCAGCTCCCATGCCCATGGAGAAATTGTCCAGGGATTGGAGAAAAAAAGAGCTTGACAGTTGATGAAGCCAGTCGACTCACGTCATCTGCTGAAATCTTCCCAAGTGGTCTCAGCCGCAAAAAAAACTCTTCCCAGCATTCCAACTCTTCGAACAACTTCAAACGCATTCCAACCCACTTCCAACAAGGGGGGGCGGACAAGACGGCGGTTTTTCTTCACACCAAACCCTCCACCAAGCACCCAGCACCGTGCCGCCGCCGGCACGTCCTACCGGCCTTTCAGCTCCCGAGCCCATTGTCCAACGCTGCGAGAGCCCAAATGGCAGCCGGTTCACGGCGAGGACACCATGAGGGGGGCAGCAAACGACCATGAGTTTCGGGCACTTGGCATGGGAAGTTTCTTTGGACCTCCTTCTGAACATGCCAAAAACCATAAGCTCGAAAAATGCCCGTCTCGCAACACGAGGCCCCCAAGCCCAACACGAAAACCCATCAAGCCAATCATCATCACCCCACTCCACCTCGCCCCAACTTAGGAGCAAGGACGCTACTAGGAGCAATGGGCATCGCTACTAGGAACTAGGACGCTACTAGGGGCTCCTGGCCTTACTAGTAATTAACAAGAAGCTATTAGAAACAAGAATTCAATCGAATTAGAATTAACATTAATACATCAATTTCATACTCCACACATCACTCCTCCCTCCCACACCTCCAAGGGCATCCTGGGCACCTTCGGCGCGCAGCTCTTGCGAACCCCGGCGCCTGAGGGGGGGGGGCGATGGAAACCGCCGGATGCATCGCGTCGCGAGGAGAAGGTTGAACATGACCATGTTAAGCACCCCCGGTGTATCTAGTATTCGCGTTCAGTATTCCCTGGGTTCTTTGGTTCTTCGTGAAAGCCGTTTTCACTGCAAGTTTGACCATGCTTCACACGGGGATCACAGATGAGTTCCGCACCTCTTGGATGTTTTTGATGGATGCAATTTCAACTTCATCAGTTGTCCAAACGATGTGGGTGCGGTTCAGGTCGCCCTGGGAAGGTTTGGGTCCTTTCTGAACGCTTCAAAAATGGAAGTGGAACATGACCATCCCTAGTAGAAGATTCGAGTGTCCTCCACAGACAACGCTCATCTTCCATCAATTCTCTGAAGGAAAGATGTCCAAGGGGCTGCAAAGGCGCCGAGCCTGGCCTCACGCACACCTGCAAAGCCAACTCAGTGACTGTCTGGCTATTTTTTGTTGATGGCGCCGCGTGGGACGGATGAGTTCATCTGAGTCCCTTTAGAGGTATGGGCCATAGGCCCCCCAAAAAATATGTTTGTGTTTTCTCGTGGTAGTGGTAAGGAGATCGTCAACTCCCCACCAAGGTGAGCCTAACGACGGAAGTTACAATCCTTGCTTGGGCTTCTGGGACATCCCAAACCAACTAAACGTCCGAAAACACCTTGAGATCTTTCCTGGCTTTTCATGTTCGGCTTGACGGGTCGCTTTGGGCAGAAGTTTTGTGCGAAATGGTCGATTTAGATGTCCCAGAAGGCCCACCTTGGAAGAAATGCGCCCATTGCAACAAAAATTGAAGCAACTTTCACATGAAAACGTGCAAAACACTAACTTGAACGAAAACATGGGGAGTCGGGACGTGGTAGATGTTTGGACTAGCTTGAGTTTTTGCGCACTCTGGAAACAGCATGGGCCATAGGTGATTCTTTGCAATGTTTGCCGCCTCTAAGGGGAACATTTGCCCATGACAACAAAAGCTGAGGCATTTCGAACCCATAAACATGGCACGACGGGTGGCTTGGCACACCTCGCTTTCACATCAGGACATTGGTACTGAACCCCTAACAACCAGAAAAGCATTCGACTGTCCCAATACCTCTTGCTATAGCCATTAAGGCTCTTCACTCAAAAAGTGGTTTTTGAATACTTTTGCAGCAAGAACATCAAACCAGGTGGCCCTAACCATTGAAATCGTCCCAGCCCCAGGTCTGGCCAAGGGATGCCAAGGGGGTCTAGGGAGTGGCCTAGTCTGCAAAGCACATCTGAATCATTCTGAAACCCTGTGTCCCACCTCGGCCCTTGGCCACCACCTTGACCTCCCAATCCCCCATAGCACGGCAACCGCCCGACATTGTCTGTAACATCCGAGACACCCGTGCGCCAGCACTGGCCTTGGAAGCTATCGCCAAGTCGGGCCACTGGTCGGGCCACTTGTCATTGAAGCCACTGTAAAAATCGACTCCACGCGTTCCCTCCGAAGACCAACCCGGGGGCCGGGTTATAAAAAAAATACATATATATCTATATATATATATCTATCTATCAAAAGAAAGTTTCTACATCTTGTAAAAAACAGCTAATTTACTGCAAAAACAAGTTAGACCAGCGTAGACCCCAAACAGTTTGTGCGTTTAGGAAGTGAACCACAGAGACAAACTGTCAAGCCGTCAACGGCTCAAAGCGTTCCAGCTCGCGGCGATCAACTCGGACCTTCTGGGTTTGTTTCAACGCTTGGCTCAATCGGCTCGAGGTCAGGACCGGCAATTCTGGCGAAAACAGAACAAATCTACGGAATATGCTGAGTTGTACGACATGTGGCTTATCATGCTTTGTTCTGGCTTAAGTTACACCACCGTAAACCCCAAACAGGTGGGACAACAAAGAAGCATTCCCAAGTCCATTTTTAAAACATGGGAGACAAGAAGGAAGATAAGGCGGACACAATGACCAACAAAAAGGGAAACAAGAAGGGAAACAAAAAAGAGACAGAAGGGAGCAAGGCAGACACAGTGACGCTGTCCCGCACAAGACGGACACTCTTTGAAAGCATTGAGAACTCTGACAGTAACCTGTTTGAGGAAAAATTACCTGGGAGACAAATGAATAGAAATGCTGCGTAGCCAGCGGAAAAGGGCGGACACCAGCAGTGCACGCACTGAACCTGGGAGACACAAGTAAAGAAATCAAATGAATAGAACGGACACCAGCAGTGCAGGAACCGAACCTGGGAGACAAATGTTTGGGAATCACACGGAAGACAAATGAGTGGAAATGCTGCATGGCCAGCGAAAGAGGGCGGACACCAGCAGTGGAGACACGACGGACACAATGACCAAACAGAAGATGCTCAGCTTCCGACTGCGTCCCACCTCGCTGGGGACAATGGGGAGACAATTTTAAAAACATGCGGCCAAAGCACCCACGGGACTGGAGAGAGCGGGACGAGGAATGGGAGCAAGCACAGCGCGGGGAACGCAAGCAAAATCATGCGGCCCGGTCATGCACCCCTTTCAAAGGAGTACACAGGTAAACCTGTTTGAGAAAATCCATTCACAAAGAGCTGCGCCTGCCACCGCCAACTGCATTGGCGGGGCTGCGCAGTGTGAGCCTTGATGCGAAGATTTCGTCCAGGCGCGGCTCGAAGCGCTGATTTAGCACTTTGTGCACTGGAAGCGCAGATTTCGTGGCAGGCACAGCACTTCGTGAACCTCGAAGTGCAGATTTCGTGGCAGGGACAGCACTGTGAACCTCTACATGCAGATTTCGTGGCAGGCATGGCGCTGGGTGAACCTCGAAGTGCAGATTGCGCGGCAGGCGCAACGTTCTTGTGGGTCTCAAGACCTTGAAAGGCGCTCTACACCCCGGGACCTGAAGACCCCTGGACCTCATCTCGGCCTTTACGTTTTTCTAGACCCTGAAACAAGCCCAGACCTTTAGGACCCGTCCAGATCTCAAGACAAAAGACCTCTGAACCTCTGCAAGATCTCTGGGTTTCTAGATCTGTCTGTAGACCTCCCTGCCTGTAAATCTTACAACTATATACCTAGAATGGCTCCTTTCCTTTCCTAAATTTTACCCCCGCATGGCCCCAAAAGGTCTACTACTCCTCTAAATGTTCCTCAGCAAAGGTCTGCTGCCTTGGCGTAGCACCTTCACCGGATGATCCAAGGGCTTGCGCCCGCTCACTGTTGCTATAGCTGCTATCGTCATCCTCAGTGGTGGGAAGCAAACCGTCTGCGATCAATGCAAAGTTCATTCTAGATTTTGTCAGCATCTATCAGTGTTTGGTGTGTCACTGTTCACATATGTTACGTTCACAACCTTCACACGCCAGCGCAGAAGTTCAAGAAAGGTCTCAGCTCGACTGCGGTTGCGGATGGCGCTGGCAAGCCGCATCATCCACGGTACTTTGCGACACCGCATCTGAAGAATCCTTGTGAACAAGCTCATGAAGGTAGAACACTTGTGGATTGAAGTGATATCAGATTATATACAGTGTCATAAATGTCATCAGATACATTGTTATCAGCAATATCGTTTGAACGCTTGTTGACCTCGCCCGACTTACCATGTTTTTGGCGTGACAACACACTTGGCTGCTGGCCCCCCTTTTCTGAATGGCTATAAGTGGGCAAACACAAGAGGTCTACGCTCAAACTCGACCCTGCCAGTACCACAAACAAAAGGGAAGGTGAGGAGCACTAGCGGTCAGTGCCCCAAGACTAGCTGTTGTAACACGCAACATCTAGCCCGTGCCCTTTTCCAGGTCTGCGACGGTGATAACACCGAGGCTTTTGTGTTCGAGTGACAAGTGGGCTGTGGAGTTAGTGGTTTGAGGGGTATGAGTGCAAAGAAGCTCACAAAACAAAGGCCTGCTACATTGGAGTGGCAACTTCTTCCTCTGCCCCACGCAACACACACACCCCTGATTGCTTCCTTCTAAACCACAAGTTGCATTTCTTCTTAGTTGTTGTCGATGAAATGACTGCTTTGCAACCGTCACGTTCACCGCGTGACTGCAAATCTCTCTCACTTGGGCATCACAAAACATGAGTATGGCGAGCACCGCCAAAGAAACATTGGGCGCAAACATAGCATTGCCAGGCATCTTCACCATTTGCCCATCCATCAGGCAATTGTGGAAAACACCGACCGGATGCCTGGAGGGAGGCAAGTTTTCTAGGAAACGCCACGCTGCAGACGCTGCTCTTTTGGCTCCGTGCCCTGGAAGTTCCCGTTGCACTGTGTCGGCAGGGGCGCTGCGTGCACATGATTGCTGTAGGATCTGCACTGCAAATGTCTGCACTAGTTTGAGAAGCTTGCGTAGCCGATCCGCGTTTGTTCCCCGACACACCCGGAACGACTGCAATCAAAAGCTCCTGGTATATAGGAACACCAACGGGGCGAGCCACACACTCTTGGCAGAGCCCATGCCATACAGATAGAACTGCGTCCGCAGCACATCCAGGGTCGCGACCTTGTTGGCGTTCGCGTCATCGTCGCCGCAGCTATCACGGTTGTGGTCTCAAAACCTTCACAAAGAGCTGCGCCTGCCACTGCGAACCGCATTGGCAAGGCTGCGCGATGTGGACCTTGATGTGTAGATTTCGTGGCAGGCAGAGCACTTTGAGCACCTTCAGTTGCAGGTTTCGTGGCAGGCGCGGCACTCGAAGTGCAGATTTCGCAGCAGGCGCAGCACTTTGTGCACTGGAAGTGCAGATTTCGTGGCAGGCGCAGCACTTCGTGAACCTCGAAGTGCAGATTTCGTGGCAGGGACAGCACTTTGTGAACCTCTACATGCAGATTTCATGGCAGGCACGGCGCTGGGTGAACCTCTACACGCAGATTCCGTGGCAGGCGCAGCGATTGTGAACCTCGAAGTGCAGATTGCGTGGTAGGCGCAACATCCTCGTGGATCTCAAGACCTTGAAAGGCGCTCATCTCTATTCCTTTCCTATAGGTTTTACCGCGTGGCCCCAAAAGGTCTACTGCTCCTCTAAATGTTCCTCAGCAAAGGTCTGCTGCCTTGGCGTAGCACCTTCACCGGATGACCCAAGGGCTTGCGCCCACTCACTGTTGCTATAGCTGCTATCGTCATCCTCAGTGGTGGGGAGCAAATCGTCTGCGATCAATGCGAAGTTCATTCTGGATTTTGTCAGCGTCTATCAGTGTTTGGTGTGTCACTGTTCACATATGTTACGCCAGCGCAGAAGTTCAAGAAAGGTCTCAGCTCGACTGCGGTTGCGGATGGTGCTGGCAAGCCGCATCATCCATGGTACTTTGCAACACCGCATCTGAAGAATCCGCGTGGAAAGCCTGCTGAACAAGCTCATGAAAGTAGAACACTTGTGGAAGTTGAAGTGATATCAGATTATATACAGGATCATAAATGTTATCAGATACATTGTTATCAGCGATATCCCTTGAAAGCTTGACCTCACCCGACTTACCCCATGTTTTTGGCGTGACAACACACTTGGCTGCTGGCCCCCCTTTTCTGAATGGCTATAAGTGGGCAAACACAAGAGGTCTACGCTCAAACTTGACCCTGCCAGTACCACAAACAAAAGGGAAGGTGAGCAGCACTAGCGGTCAGTGCCCCAAGACTCGCTGGTGAAGTTGTCGTATCATAAGCGTGGCAGGCGCAACATTGCTGTGGATCTCAAGACCTTGAAGACCTCTGGACCTCATCTCGGCCTTTACGGTTTTCTGGACCCTGAAACAAGTCTAGACCTTTAGGACCTGTCCAGATCTCAAGACAAAAGACCTCTAAACCTCTGCAAGATCTCTGGGCTTCTAGACATCTAGTCCTGAATATCTACTACTCCTCTAAATTTTCCTCAGCAAAGGTCTGCTGCCTTGGCGTAGCACCTTCCTCCTCTAAATTTTATCCTCGGGTGGCTCACAAAAGGTGTGCTACGTTGGAAAAGCACCTTCCTTCTCCAAACTCTACCCCTGGGTTGCTCACAAAACAAAGGCCTGCTACTTTGGAATGGCAACTTCTTCCTCTAAATTTTGCCCTCGCAAGGCTAACAAAAAGCCTGCTACGTTGGAATGTCTCCTTCCGCTGCTAAATTTAGGCTCACAAAAGGTGGAACGCGACCTTCCTCGTCTAAATTTACTGTCGGGTGGCTCACAAAAGGTCTGCTACGTCTGGTGATAAAAGGTCTGCTATAATGAATCACAGGACGTATGACCAGTAGATGTCCAAATCGACCAAGGGACCAGAGGAAGGGACCACAAGGACCAAGGGACCAGTGGACCAAGGGACCAGGACAAAGGAAGGAATATGTCTTTTTGATACGAATTAATGTTTTTGTTGATAGGAAAACAGGTTTTTATTCATAGGAATTACTCTTCTTTTTGATAGGTATCCCCAACCCCAGCCGCTCCTCCGTCCCGTCGGCTCCGTCGGCTCCGTCGCCGGCATGCGTGCCGCCGAGGTGCGGGGCGTGAGCGCGGCAGGCCGGGCGGCCGGGGGACCAGCCTCGGTGCCATGAACGAAAGAGACGTCGTATGCAGGCTTTTAGAGGAGCAGGCAACGATGTTCAATAAGCTTCTAAAACCACTTCTTGAGATTCGAACCCCCATCTGTCCTCGTTCGACCGTGAGTTCCACGTCTTGCATAAATCCTTTCAGCAAGAAAGGATTACACGTGGTTCATCTGACGCCTGGTTCTCGTCCCGCATGCCAACTTTCTCACTTCCCCCCCTCACGCAAGGACCCCGAACTTGCCATTGGCCAGGCTGTTGTGGTACTGCGCCGCCGCCAAATGCACGCGCGCCTGCGTTGCATGGCGTGACTCGGGGAGTTTGGGGACCCTAAGTGAAGACATACCCTCCGGTCGTTGCGCAGCGTCATGCGGGAAATGACCACGCCAGCAGCGTCACGCATGGTGTTTGGACAGGTTGATGTGCATTGTGCCATTGCATTGGAAACATCAAACTGTTTGAACCTCCTCTTAGTGCAGTCCAAGCGCCTATAGGCACACTGGCTCTCCGTGTCAAAAAGGTCATGGTGAAATACCTACGGCCCCGCCCCGCCTCCACAAGATCTAAATCAGCAACGTCGCTCCTGCAAGGGCTGGGAGGACCGGCGGCTCTCGGAGCAGGAGTGTCCAGGTAGCGTGGCTCGCGCGTCCAGGTGTGGCAGCTCTCGGAAGAGAGTTGAAAGCACAAAGCTGATGTCATTCAGAACTTCTACCCTCCACCAACTGATGCCGAAAAGAGAGTGGCACAAAGTCCCTGGAGTGGCGAAAACCCACATGCCCCTATGAAGTCAGTTGGGCTGCTGGCGTTACCAGCGTTCATTCTCTCAAAATGACCCACCTGTGGTGTTGTGGAAGAGATCCTGGTGCCATCTGACAACGACAAGGTCCATTTCATCTCTCCTCAACATTGGGTGCTCAAGGGTTCATAGATGTGCCATTTCGTCTTCCCAGTTTCGTAAAACAAAGCTGTTTTTACACCGAATGTCCCGCAAACCAAATTCTGCGAGGAAAAATACACCCAAAAACCAGCGCGATTCCATCCCCTCAACTCCTTGCCGGGACCCGGGAAGATGTTGCGGGTCTGATGCCCCTCCTCCTCCACCTCCCCCATCTGATCTTGTCCTCTCGTCCGCCATGCATCCTCCGTCCGTGCCACGTCCCGAAGCTCATGCCTTGGCTCGGTGCGGTCTCGGGCTGTCGGACCCACCTACCGAAAGCTCCTGCTGGTCTGAGAATGAACATCTCGTTCGGAGTGTTCGGATTGTTCCCCAAGGAGTCTGGAGTCTGGACTCGCTGGGAACAATCCAATTGATCCAATCCTGATGGGTCTGGGAGCCGCGGCCAAAGGTGCGGAAGTCTCACAGTCGGGCCGTGCTGTCGGACCCATCATCGGGCCGCCCGTGCTCTTGGACCAAAGGTGACCAAATGTACCAAGATTGTTGCCTGAGATCAGATTGAAGCAGTGAATCAAGCGAATGACCTTCAACAAGGCTCTTGGACAGGTGAACCCAAGAGAGAATGATCACAACTTGCTCCTCAGATCTTCAAAGAGCTCGGGTAGTTCATGAAAATGTCATTGGTTCGATGATGTTGTCCCCCCCCAACTGCCGGGGTCAGCAGGTGCAGGGATTGATGCCAGCTTGATGCCTCGGCTTGATGACTTAGATCAGGCTTTTTCAGCAAATCCAACCTCCACTTCGGCCGAGGGCTTTGCTCAAGAGCCCCTCCAGCAGATCGGATCCAGGCCGGGTGCTTTCTTCATTCAAGAGCCAAGGTTCCACATGGTTCCATGGTTCCGCATTGCTGCTCACAGTTCTTGTGGTAGATGAGAAGAAACAAAGACAAACGATTCTTTGGTCGGCCCATGTTTCGAAAACAAAGTGGCAATGACGATTCTAGGAACTACTAGAGTTCCTGTACCACATGACCAGGGCTATCCACTACCTACTGAGCTCCAAACCAAAAACCTGTGTAGGCCAAGTAGTGGAAAGTGGTGACGAAAAAAAGCACTGGGGCCCAGTAGTTGACTGGGATAGTATCTCGACTGAACCGGGGCTGACATATCTCACCTTCAGTTTCTCTCAAAAAGGAAAGAAATGGAAGAAAGAAGAAGCTTCCAAAGAGCCACCTCTCAATCTTCACTACCTGGATTCACATAGCCCTGGGGGCCCCGGACGGCCGTTCTCATGGCGTTCGGAGCGGAGAAGGATGGTGCATGGTGGACCACCTGGTGGACTCCAAGCAGTTGAAGGACCTGGTCTGAGTGGACTCCGTCGTCGTCTGGTGTTGGATAGGTGTTTCACTTGGCGCACCTGCGGTCCGGGGTGGGCAGGTAGAGTCTGCAAGAGGTCAATGCTGCCATCATGCTATCTGAAAGAGATAAGCATGAGGAGCAGTTGCCTATCGTGCCGGTCATCCGAGCTTCATCTGCTACCTTCAGCGGCTGCTGCAATGGCCGGTTCTTTTTCAGCTGAAGCCATGAGAGGAACCCGGGCAAGCAAAGCTCATTCTGTGTGGCACATACTGGGCGATGTGCTAGCTACTCTCCTGCCAGCATCTCGAGGGATCTTTGATGTTTCACAAGAAGCTGTGGGTATGGGCAAACATAAACAAGAACAGCTTCTTGTGAAACATACCCATACCCATACCCATCCCAACTACTTGTGTGTGTGTGTGTTTGGCCAAACAAACCCTCAAAACGACTCACATTTGCTCTCGGTGCCCAGGCGGCTCCATTGAGCCGCCGGTACGAGCGGACACGAGTCCCACTGGAACTAGAAGTTCATTCAGTCCGACAGCCGAAGACCTGCCTCAGTTCACATCCAGCTAGTATCAGCTAGTTCACTGCTTCACCCCCAGGTTTGCCCCTCATCTTTGAAGCGTCACCGGGTCCTTGGATTCTGAAATCAAAGCCTTACTAGTAGCTTATTGTTTCTAATAGCTTCTTGTTACTACTAGTAAGGCACTTGTTACTAGAAGCGATGCACTTGTTACTAGTAGCTTATTGTTTCTATTAGCTTCTTGTTACCGTAGAAGTTCTCCAGAATTCTCTGATCGGATGTTGGCGGCCAACATGGCCGACCCTCTGCAGTCCTCTCCCGGCCCAAAGGACACACCCCCGCTGAGCCGCGAACAAAAGGCTGAGCTGAGCTGTTGCGAAAGAGCATCTACCCGGGTGTCTAAACAACTGGGGCGGTCTGTCTGGGAAGTATGGCAAATCTTACATTCTGTGAAGATCTAGAAAGTATCACTTAAAGTGTCCCCCTCTTTGCGCGTCATGAAACGCCCCAAAACCATCCAAACACCCTCAAACACCTCCAAAACTGCGCCCTCTGTCTGTCCCTTCCGCCTTCACCAAGCCTCCCTTCACCCCGAAGCGTCGGCTGCGTCTCACCTCCGCCCGGTCCCGTCCGCACCGAACCGTCCTCGCTCCGTGTGGCCCCGAAGGCGATCGTGGGCCGCACGTGTGGCGGGGGCACCGGCAGGTGGGTCTGGCGGACGGAGGGGACACCGAACCAGGCACAGGGACGCCTACAGTAGGGGTTTACAGATGCAATGTTAGAACTAAGTTATATATTGTTATATATATATATATATACAGTAGATAGAACTGTTTTGTTGGCGGGGAGGCCATGGCGGAGACCCCAAAATCGACGCTGGGGCAATGATCCGAAGCTCCAACGTGGCGGCTGCGGCCGAGATTGCATGGTCACCAGCCACCCGACTTCTGTCACCAGCCGGCTTGAAACGGAATGAACCTCGCTTTGACCCGACTGACCGCCCTTGGACCACCGTGGCCGAAACCCGGGGAGTTGGACCGTCTGCCCAAACGGGACGGGTCCAATTCCGGACTAGACTTGAATCATTAACAAAACCAATCCCTGCAGAGATCCCCAAAGCCACATATATGAAACAGTGTCTTTTTCTGAGACGTGGTGACTGGATGTTCTTGTTTTGTTTCGGGAAAGTTGGGATCTGCATGCACCTGAGCGTTCGACTATATCATTGACACCCACCGGCCGGCCGCTTCGCTCCGAAGGTGTCCGAAGCGGCCAACGGCAATTGAACATTTACCAATCACAGAATCTTTGATGTTACTGCGACGTCCAGCATCTATAAACTCGAGGAAAACATCGGAAAACTCATTGGACCCCACACAAGTTCGAGAAACCCATGGGTGCGGGTCAAAACCATTCCAAATCCCGTGCACCCCACTTTCCAGCCCCAGCGGGCCAGAATGAGCTGCTTCGGGTGATTGAGCTTCGGGTCAAAGCCCATCCGCTCGCAGTCCCTTGGGCACCGAGCGGAAGCGCGGAGTCTCTCGCCCCAAAAAAACTTAAAATAGGACGCCCAAATACCGTGCCCATTTTACACATTGTCTAGAGCGGAATCCAAGAAAAAACAATAAAGGGAAAGATGACCTTCCCAGAACGACCTCCTCGGCCGGTCGCGGTTGGAATGGTTTGATGCTGGAGCGTCGCGAGGGTCGCCTTTCGCCGTGTCAAGGGCTATCTCGAGTTTGGAGGCTGCAGCATGTCTATAGTAACTATGGTCGTACTTGCCCTTGAACCCTTGGGTGCAGGTGTATTGGTAGCTGGCAGGCTCATGTGCAACGCTCAAGCAAAAGAGGCTGTCAACAACAATGTTCAAAACCTGTATGAACCGGTGGTCAACCAAGACCAACACAACGAGGGTCCAAAACCCTGCCAAGTCGGATGCAAACCGATGCAACCTTTTCACTCACCTCGTAGCTCCATGGCGCGTTAAGCGCATTCAAGGCAAAAGGACGTCCTGGGATTTGGGCCCATGCGATCCGTCGGTGGTCAATCATTCAAAGACCTGAGGTGACATCAAGTGGCTGTACCTGTCATGTTCGTCTTCCAAGACACCCCAAAAGTGTTGACCAGAGACGGATTGCGGGGCGACCTCAGGACTCTTGCGTCCGGCCTTCTTGAGTCGTTTCGAACTCGTGAAGCTGGGATCGTATCGAAGGGTCCATGATCCCTCAACCATGACCTTATCCAAGATCCCGGGAGGAAGTGGCTTCGTGAGCGCATCAGCGATCTGTGATTCGCTGTGCACCCACCACACAATCGTTGAATTCCGCTCAATGGATTCAAGGAGGCACAACACTTCCAAGGCGGTGTATTTGTCTTTCAGACCTGCACCGCTGGAGTTGAGGTCTCGCTTGATGAGCACATCGTACAAAGCTTTGGCATCCACGATCACCGCTCCACAAATGCGGCACACAGCAAGTGAAGGCTGCTTCAAATCAACCTGGATGCCACAAAACTCTGCCCAAGCCAGCCTAGTGAACATCAACTCTTGATCACATTCCGCCAGGGCTTGGGTCTCTGCGCTCAACGACGAACGAGCCTTTCGCTGCAAGCGAGCCGATCGCCATGACACCAGTGACAGCGGGCTCCTGGTGCCTTGCAACATCTTGGGTGACGCTGCGGCGATGACATAGCCTCCAGTGCTGCTAAGGTCCTTTCGGTTGGCCAATGCCGCATCCGACCAACCTAGGAAACAAACATCCAAAGGATCGCCAACGTGCAACTGGTTCACACGCACTGACACATGGCGACCGTGGAATGCTTCACGCAGCAACTTGTTCGTGGCTCTCAATGTACCAACTGTTGCACTGCTGATCTCGCTTTGTAGCTGTCCAAGTCGGGCAGCAAGCAATGGTGAACTCTGGTTGATCCTCCATTGCAGGGCCCCCAACACACCGCGCAGCTGTGTCAACTCCTCTGCTTTCACAGGATCGTGATCTTGTCGGGCCTCGAACTCGATGGGTTCAATGCCCTCGATGAATTTGGAGTGACTCAAAACAAAGCTAAAATCTTCTTGCTCCATGATCTGCAGGCCACAATGTGTGAAGCTGGAAAACTCCCAGGGCGACCATTTGAATCGACTGTAAAAGGATGTAATCTTGGCCACCCACTCTTCATTTGCTTCGTCGCCGGACACCAGGAAGTCGTCCACATGTGAGCAGACATATCCCAGCGTTTCCTGCCTACCCTCTGTGGTGGATTCCCCATTGGAAAACAACAAAAGCCACAAACACGGGTCGGTCCGGCTCTGAACAAAGCCAAGTTGCTTCAGCGTGTTCTTCACACACTGGAACCAAGAT